CACCAAGTCTGTAGACGTATATAGGCAGATTTAAGTGAGTGAGCAAAACTTGGCTTGAGTTAGTATAATGTGGGACAATGTGAAGTTATGCACTTTCTTAGAATAAATAGAGGAGTGGTAAGTTATTTAAATTAAGAGAGACTGAAAAAATCTATAACACAGAGGGATTTGGGAATCCATATACATGAACCTCAAAAGCAAGCATCCTGTTCAGCAGGTAATGGGGAGCCAAATGGAACGTTAGCTTTTATTTCAAAGGAAATAGACTATAAATTAGCTAATTCTTTCTAAATACTGTAAGCATGTTTAGGTCCTTCATCTAATGAAAGATACACTAGTATTGGAGGCAGTCCAGAGAAAATTCACTAAGCTGATTCCAGGTATGGATACACCATCTTATGAGGAGAAATTGTATATTTTGGGTCTGTACTCATTGGAGAGTCAATCTAATTGAAAAATGCAAGATTATTAGGGAACTTACAGGTAAATGCAAAATGGTTGTTTTCTCTTTTGGGAGAGTCTAGGATCAGGGACATAATCTCAGAATAAGGAGTCGCATATTTAAGACAGTGATGAAGAAGAAATTCTTCCTTAGAGGGTAGTGAATCTATGGAATTCTCTATCACAGACAGCAGTAGAGGATGCTTGTTAAGTATATTCACTGCTAAGATTCTTAATCAGTAAGGGAATTGAGAGTTACGGGGAAAAGACAGTGAAGTGGAGTTAAAGATTATCTGATGAGCCCTGTGTTATTGAATAGCAACGCAGACTTCACGGATTGAATAGCCTTTGTCTGCTTATATGTCTTCTAATCTTATATTTTCTAGTTCTGTATGTTCTTGCTGAATGTTTGCATGCTTGTTCCAATATTATTGGAAAAGAAGGAAAAGGCCAGTAGAACTAATATTTGTAAATTGTCTGAATTTACCGAAGAAACAATTTGAAAATGAAGGAATGATGGTACAAAGATGTAGTCTTGAAGTGAGAGTAAGTTATAAATATAAGGGACTCTTCTCCAGAAAGTTGATAGCCATGTGTATTGTAAAGACATTTTACAAGGTGGGGAAGTTGTCTACCTGGACGTAGGGCCGTATATATTTTGGAAAGAATAGAAGGATCAGGAAGGATCCAGTGGTAGTGCTCGGTAGCTGTCAAGTGGGGTCAGAAAATTGTTTAAGTCCTATTCCAGAGAATTGTGCATATAATCTACAGTGACATTTAAGAACAAAAAGAATGCTGCATGATCAGAGGCAACATCTTTTGAATAAGATGTTAACCAATTTCCCATGTGTCCTCTTAAATGATCACAAATGTTCCCAAAAAACATTGAGGAAGACTAGAGTAGTTATTCCAATGTCTGACCAATTCTTGACAAAATAAAAACAAAAGAACTGCAGGTACTGGAAATCATGTGCAGGATGGTGTGCCACAGGGATCAATGCTGGGCCATAATTATTTATTATATATAAAGTATTTGTATGAAGAAAGTGAATGTACAATCACCAAGTTTGCAGATGACACAAAAGTAGCTTGGCAGTGAGGATTACACCAAGTCTGTAGACGTATATAGGCAGATTTAAGTGAGTGAGCAAATTGCTGGAAATTCTGCACAACTGTCAGTGAACCCTAAACGTTAACTCTGATTTCACTCCACAGATGCTGCCAGACCTACTGAGATTTTTCAA